CCCCAAAACCCCAAAACCCCAAAACCCCAAAACCCCATAACGGGTGAAAGTAATTGAACTCAAAGAAATTTATTTTCTTATTATGCGACCTCTTGGAGGCCAGCATCATTATATTCAAGATCTTGCATTTCTTCATTTCCTTCTGAGTTTGAAGAACTTGAGTCATCTTCTGCCCCGATGCACATCCAAGGATGCTCAAGAATTTCTTCAGCTGTTAGACGCTTTTCTGGGTCAACCACCAGCAATTTAGAGATTAAATCTTTAGCATCATCTGAAACATGGTCCCATTCTGGAGATGGGAAGGAATATTCTGCAGTCTTAATTTTCTCAAATAGCTCAGCATTTTGGTTCTCATTAAACGGAGGTAAACCTCAAAGGAGTGTATAGAGAATTACTCCGATCGACCAATAGTCAACCTCTTTTCCATATCCGCTGCCTTCGAGAATTTCTGGGGCTACATACCCTGGTGTCCCACAAGCAGTAATGGCGAAGACATCATCTGGGATAATTTTGGCCAAGCTGAAGTCGGTGATCTTTATCATTGAGTCTTCTTCCTTGGTCTCGTATAAGATATTTTCCAGTTTTAAATCTCTGTGGGCTACGTCAAGATCATGACAGTACCGAATTGCATCTATTATTGGTCTTAGTACAGCAGCTGCATGTTTCTCTGTAAATACTCTTTTGTCAAGGACTCTATGAAAGAGCTCTCCTCCAGCTAGCAAGTCAAGCACGATGTAGATATTTTCAGTGTCTTCAAAGACCTCTCTTCATTTTACAATATTAGGGTGATCAATCTGGCTGAGGATGGTCACTTCATTTTCTAATCAGAGAGCTTCCTCGCTACCGAGTTGGGACCTCTCAATAACTTTGATGGCAACCTTGTCCTTGGTTTTAAGGTTGTCTGCAAGGTAGACTTTGGAGAAGCTTCCTGAGCCGATTTCTTCTTCAATATTATAGAAGCTATTTACATCTTCACCTTTACGGAATATAGTGGATGACATTTATAATGAATAATTCAATTATTTTGCTATATTTTGGGGTTTTGGGGTTTTGGGGTTTTGGGGTTTTGGGG